CATACCCACATACATACATACATGCATGCATGGATGGATGCAGACTTACATACACTTGAAGAGCCCAGCCCGTGATCCCATTCCCAAACTCCTCCAAGCTCAAGGTCCCAAACAACCCAAACACTGAACCCTAAACCTACGGAATGGCATCCTGCATCCTGAACTCAAACCATCAAAACTTGAAGCCATAAAGCCTGCCGCAACCAACCCTGAGCCCATTCAGACAGACAACCCGCAGTTCAACTTGGGCTCCTGCCAGAGCTTCTGCGCCATCCAGCGAGTACAAGCCTCAACACGTCAAGTTTCGGGGGGCGCAGGCGGTGTATGGGTTGAGGTCTTGTTTTTGAAGGTATGTCTTGTCGATCTTAGTGCTTCGGGTTTCGGTCGTAGGTGCACCTTTCACGGCCTAAAGATTCAACACATCTGACGTCGGGCCAGCCTTCAGGGCTGCTGTCTCAACTCCTAACTCCCCATCTGCCTGGTGACTCTCCGGAGTACCTCCAGCTACCCACAACTATGTTTTAGTAGGTTCTTACTACATGAAGGGACCCTACTAAAAAGGGTAGATTTCGGTAGCTTGAGGTAGATAAAACCCTAAACCCTAAACCCCTTCAGACCTGCTGGGCAGCGTTGCTATCAGTATTTTAAGACTCGAGCCCCCTTTGCACGGCAACCCTAAAACTTAACAGTGGTTTAGGGCTTAGGGTTGCGGTTTAGAGTTTAGGGTTTAGTGGCCCTTAACAGCCCTTAAACTTGAACCCTTGACCCCAAAACTCTCAACCCCCTACAAGTAAGCTCCAGACAGCAGAAAAAGCCCGGGCCCGAAGCAAAGCGCTGCTGGCTATTTACCCTTAGCATCGAAGGAAGGACTCATATTTTAAGGCTTTTGGGCCCGACGACCCCTTTTGGGCTATGTTGATGCTAAGGGTTAGGGCTTGCTAGTGATACGGTGATTACTTACACCCGCGAAGATCCCAATGCAAAACTGCTGCATGTCTGTAAACTTTAAACCTGCTGCAGCTTAGCATCACCGATTGCCCCTACGTAGAGTAACCAATGTATTTCAAAAGCAATAATGGCTATGACCCTACAAATTACACACAAATTCCATTTTTTAAAGATACCTTGGCTACTCTGGGTACCCAAAACTCGGAACCTTAAACCCCGGCCAACACCTGTGCGTCCGGAACCCTAGCTGGCTAGGCTGGGGAACGACATTAGCAAGAGAAAGAGCCTCAACCTCAAAACCTAAACGGTTTACGGTGTAGGGGTCAACCCTTACCTGGACCCCAGAAGTATGTGGAATATCAGCCTGTTATAGGTGTTGGGCCGATGTTTACCTACATGAGGGCCGGGGGGGGAGTAGCTAAACCCGAAAGTCGAATTAAACTCCAAGCCCCTAAACCCTAAACTGGCCCTAAACCCTGAACCCTAAACCCAGCCTAAACCCTAGGCCCTAAACCCTGAACCCTACAAGCTAAACGATGAACTAAGGTTTGGGGTTTAGGGAGTTTAGGGCTCAGGGTTACTATGCATGTAGCTGGAAAGACATTATGTTGGAGGAGTAAAAAACTGCGTGTGAGCACTTTTTCTCGAAAACCCGCCTGATGAGCACTTCTTCATGGCTCCACTATGATGCAAGGCACCCAGCTTTGAGATGCAATGCCTGAAAAGTGGACAGCCCTGCCGGCCTCGCCTCTTTCGAGAATCCAGCAGGGCTTTGCATGAAAACCCAGCCTTGTACCGGGGATGCTCCTCAGCAGCTCAGAACCAAACCTTCGTCCCAACGAAGCAGTTGGTCAAGCCAAGAACCTTGGCAGGGATTAAAACGCAGCGTGGACCTTCTTTGGTTTAGGGTCTGGGGTTTAGGCTTCTTTGGTTTAGGGATGGCGTGGAATGAAAAACCGCGAAGTGACCAAAAAAGGGAAGACGGGGAAGGCGGCAAAGTCTCCGCTGTCTCCCCGCAGTGCACGGGAAGGTTTGACCCCGCCAGACATCGAAACTCTACACCCTGAATTCCCGAAAGTACTTCAAGCCTGCATGCTGAATCTCTCTGTGTCCCTACAGATCTTGATTCGGATTCTTCAGCCCTCAGGTTTGAGGGCTTTGGGAAGAAACACATCACATAGGAGTTCATGGTACCCATATAGTCTCCATTGCAGTTCCTTTCTTGGGTTACCCATAGGATCCTAAATAATTACTAAAATCCTAATCTTGCGTCAAGCGGCCCCAAGCGGCCCCTTTGCTTTTAAGGAACGCCGAGCACCGCCCCGGCACGCCCCGATATGCCCTCTGCGGACCGGGACAGAGTTCGAGTGTAGGTCAATCCTACCCATAGGCCCCTAAGTAGTTCCTTTTTGGTCTATATATAGAACCCTATAAGGTAATCCCAAAAAGGAACTACTTAGGGTCTATGGGTGCAGCCCTAAAAAACCCAAACCCCCCAAACCCGAAACACCCAAACTTTGATTGCTTGCACCCAGCGGGCCATTAACCTTTCACCCCTCAGACTTACCTGTAGCTGTAGCCAAACCCCTAAGTGCAGGGCATAACCCTAAACCCTACTAAACCCTAAACCCTAAAACCTAAACCCTACAGGTGCCTCGCCTGAACAGCCTGTTGTGTGGAGATATCAAAACCAAAACGAAAAGAGGACTTCGTGTTTACAGCTTAGGGCTTATATGGTTTAGGATCCAGGCCCTCTAATGCCGAAACAACATGCGAGCCCAACATGCTGCCGGATCGCCATGAAGACGGAAATCTCGAGCAAGTGCTCCAGATTATCGTTGCCGTCGGCCGGCAAAATTCCTTAAATCTGTTGGGTCTGCACTAGCCATGATTGTCCGCGATCAGGAATATACCGTATGGGCTGCATAGGTAATGACTCCAGCAGCAGTGTCAGGTGCTGCATGTGCATGCCTTCAGACTCAGGGAACTGTGAGGGTGGTTCCACTCGTCTTTTGAAGAGGAGCAATTTTTGAAGAGGAGCAATGGGAAATACCCTTCCGCACAAGGAGATCCTATCAATCAAAAAACCATCCTTTGTGACTCTGTGGTGCTGCCAGAAAGTCGGTTGTCCACGAACATTGAAATGCTGTGACAGATGCCGTGCCACGCGAAAAAGGCCACGATCGAGTTGCACACCTGACTTAAACGCCGCAAAAAAAAAGAAAGCATCTCAAACCCTAAACCCTAAACCTTAAACCCTAAACCCCCTAAAAAAAGGGCCTAAATCCTGATCCTGCAACCCTCAATAAGGTTCTAAGCCTTCCGAGCCCTGGAGGTAGCGACACTCCTTCAGCCTGGCCTTTGAGTTTGCGGTTTAGGGTTTAGGGTTTATAGGGCTTATAGGGCTTATAGGGTATAGGGTTTAGGGTTTATAGGGTTTATAGGGTTTATAGGGTTTATAGGGCTTATAGGGCTTATAGGGTTTGGGGTTTAGGGGTTACTGGCCTTTGGGTTTGCGGCCGCGAGGAAGAACGCCAGGAAGAAGGTGGCGAATGTCCCGCGCCAAAGAAGCTCAGCCTGGATGTTGTACGGCCTGCATGGCGCTTCCTGTCTATCGATTATCGAAACAAGTTCCTGGTGAACACAAACGTTATTATGATGACAAGTGTGTTTAGGTTGTCTCGCATTTGCTTTAAACCCTTTTCGGGATTCGGGGCTTACGTTTCGGTGTAGGGTGTACAGGCGTGCATACGGCTTTGGAGGGTGTTTAGAGTCTATTGTCTGGAAATTCAATAAGGTCTTGAATTTGAGAAACGGTGGAGGTACAGAGTTACGGGTTGTTGAAGTTTTGGGGTAGTTGCTCAGAAGCAGGGTGGGGAGGTCTACTGCAACCCTGATACTGGACTAAGTGCAGCCAGAAGAAGCTCCCACCTTTGAGGCTCGGTAAAGGCTTCGTACAGTAAGTTCCACTGCACTTCAGCCTGAATCCCCCGAAACCCCTCAGCGTCCCTGCCTCAACCTCTAATCCCAACCGGTGAGTCGAAAGGGTCTACGGCATAACCACCCAGTCAGACCTCGATGTAGCACCAGTCCCAGCCTCCATCGCACCCATAGCTCCACTGAGTCCCAAGGCCCGAAGATCGGCATCACCAATCCGAACGGGAAAATGGAGAAAACCACTGTATATATCCTTGTACGGTTGAGGGCTTATAGGGTTAAGGAGATATCCTTGCGGTTCAGGGTTTGGCATCAGTTCGGGCTCATGACTCATTGCAAAGCTTTCGGAGTCTCCGTGTCGAGGAATGTCATCAGCTTTGTTTTAGGGTAAGGCTCAGACCCTAAACCCTAAACCCTCCCTAAACCCTAAACCCTTATAAACCCTAAACCCTAAACCCTTATACACCCTAAACCCCAGGATTTAAGCCACACTAGCTTGGCTATCACAAGGTGGTGAAGGCTCGGGGTCTCCTAAACAAACAACAATGCTTGGAACATGGTCTTTTCGAAGATCCTCTTGTGGGTTTTGTTTACTTGCAATGACTCCTTTATTTTGCAATGACTCTTTTGCGACTGTGGGGGGGGGGGGTTAGGGTTAAGGGTTTCGGGATTAGAGTCTGCTGTTGTCTCTCAGTTTGCATGAAAAACCCGTACCGACAGCACCGACGGCACCGCCCAACAAGTATGCACCACTGCACGTAAGAAACAAAACAACACCACAACAACTGCGAAGAGGCGGGGCCCACAACGCTACGGATAATAAGCAGCATACTCAGATTCAGCGACAACATGTGCCTCCGGCTCTCCGACTACGGGGAGAGGACACTTCATCTAGCTGTGTGTTCATGGCCGTACGTGCATAGAGCAGTAATATGCTTGATGCGACTACAAGCCGGCTAAGCAATCTGCTGACATCGTGGCGTGGGAGTGATGCCGAGGCTCTTCACGCGGAGTGCTACATCTGGATCCCAGAGGTGACGATAA